AAATTTTCTTTTTGATTAATTTAGATGAGGGAAGTGTAAGCCTAGAACTGTCTATCTTTTGCTCATATAGAAGGGTGAAATATTTAATTGTTGTAGGTGATGTTAATTTCACCCCTTTAGGAAAAGAAAAGGAACTCAACGGGTCGGTTGTAGAACACAATGATTTCTTTGTCATTTTCTTCCTGATTTATGAGTCGATTTACCCTTTCACCTTGGTGGCAGAAGATCACCAATGTCTTATTTGCTTATGTGGCACTGTATTCCCAATTCTGAGCCTCTGTATTGTACTTTGTCAAACTTTCAAGTCTCACTTTTCCCTTGGCCCCTTCTTTGGAGACCCCGGTTTATTTTTTGTTTGTCTTGCTGTATCCTATTCTTTTGAGCAAGTTCGTCTTATGAATCTAGAGAACTTGTTGTTAAGCCTGGATGTTCCTTTCTGCGTGGAGGTCTGAGCGTATCTTGTTTCTAAGACAATTTATGATTCAGTTTTGAGCGGATGGTGCAGCTCATTTTCTGTTACTAAGTTTATATTATCATAATAGGTGGACTCATATTTAACCTCGGGAATTTCTCATTTAATTTTGACAGACCATCTTCCGGAATCCTAAAGATGCTAAACCGTATATGGTTCCCCACCCAGAGCGCTGTAACCTACCTGCTGCAGCGATGCAGGCATCTTCTGATTCACTTGTAATTGTTGATATGAATGCTCCGGCTGCTCATGTAGCTCAGCATAAATGGCAACCAAACACACCAGATGGCCAGGGAACACCTTTCCTCTTTCAACACGGAAAACCTGGTGCTAGCTCCGCTGGTGGAACATTTATGCGTATGTTCAAGGGGCCGACTGGCTCTGAATCAGAGGAATGGCATTTCCCTCAAGCCCTAGCATTTGCAGCTTCTGGAATCAGAGGCTCATCCATAGTTGCAATTACATGTGACAAAGAAATTCTTACAGGCAAGCAGTATATATATTCTATTTATTTAAATCTCAAAAATTTTTAGTTATCGAACTGTCGTTGTGAAAGTATCATATTTGAGTTCATTAACCCATTTATATGTAAGCTTGCTTTGTAACTTTTTTTTGTGTGGTTTTTTTTTGTGGGGGGTGGGGGGTGGGTGGGTGGGAGGGGGTGGGGTGGGGTGGGGGTTAAGTGCATAGTTAGCATTCTTCCATCCTGTAACAATACTTTGATGGTCAAAACTCACTTATCTTACACAAATTTCCTCAGCCAATATACTGCTTTTGATGTTTTGCAAATGAAGTTAGGAATTACTCCCTATGCTCCATATCATGTGGCATGCTTTCCTTTCTAGTCTGTTCCTAAAAGAATGGCCTTACTGTATTTGGAAATAATTTAACTATAAACTTCCCATTTAATCCTCAATGACATGCTTTTATAGCCAAGAAAATGTCATGGAATATTGAGAACAGAAGTTCCAAAAGTCTTTCTTTCTTAAACTCCATTCCAAGTTAGAACCACCACATACGATGAGCTTGGAGGAGGGGGGTTTATATACTACTGCTCATTTTGTAATTTTCTTCATTCATCTCAAATTATCTACTAGAGGGCAGAAACCTCTTACTTCATTTCCTCTGATTCAATTTTTTGTGAGAGTGCCAGTGGGTTCCTTAGTTGGGCGGAAAAAAAGAAGTGATTGAATGCAAGACCTTTCAATGAAGCGAGATTAACATTGCATGCTTTATGTTGTTGCTGAATCCTAAACATACTGACTAATAGAAGTTCCTGGACTTGTATCTAGGTGGCCATGTAGACAACAGTGTGCGGCTGATATCATCAGATGGGGCAAAAACTTTAGAAGTAGCCAGAGGACATTGTGCTCCCGTGACATGCCTGGCTTTATCTCCAGATAGCAATTATCTTGTTACAGGGTCTAAAGATGCAACAGTGCTTCTCTGGAGAATAAATAGGGCATCAATGCCGCGCATCGGCAGTACGGCAGAGGCTTCCACTGGTTCAAGCACACCTTCAACCAGTAGTACTACACCAAACAGCTCGAGAGAGAAAAGTAAGAGGCATCGAATTGAGGGTCCCATACATGTCCTTAGGGGCCATCTTGGGGAAATATTATGCTGCTGTGTGAGTTCAGATCTTGGGATCGTGGTTTCATGCTCCAGCTTGTCAGATGTCTTGCTACATACTATAAGAAGGGGTCGATTGGTCAGAAGGCTGGTTGGAATGGAGGCACATTCTGTCTGTCTGTCATCTGATGGACTTTTAATGGCTTGGAATAAATCCCATAAAACACTAAGCACCTTTACTCTTAATGGAATTCTTATTGCTAGAATACAGTTTCCTCTCTATTCCGCCATTGGTTGCATGGAGGTTTCTGTTGATGGACAAAATGCATTGCTTGGAGTAAATCCATCTGCTGAAAATGATGGACCGTCAGACAATAAGTCTATGAAGTGGCAAAAGCCAGGACCTGGAGATTCTGATGTCGAATCAGATGAAAATGGCAAAGGAAATATATTAGATATCTCTGTGCCTTCGATCTGCTTCGTTGACATGTATACTTTAAAGGTAGAGTTAAGACTTCTTTTGGGCCTTATTTTTTTCTCTTTTCCTGTCCACGTCAAAACTGACATCACTGAGTGAGGAACTGTAAGGCAGACCATCTAGTTTGTTTGCTGCTTTGCCAAGTCTGGGTTGTCTATGCTGCTTCTTAGCACCTTTTGACCCATGCAACTTGAAATTCAATTTTCTTAGTTGCTTGATGATAGGAAGTACACTCATTTCTCACCTTGTTTTGCTTGTGTGTATGAAGCAGAAGCTGATGTTTTGACTTGCAGGTTTTTCACATTATGAAGCTTGGAGAGGGTCAAGATATTACAGCTCTGGCTCTGAACAAGGATAACACTAATGTCTTGCTATCGACAGCTGATAAGCAGTTGATAATCTTCACAGATCCTGCCGTAAGTTGAATACTCTTTTTTTTATGTTAAGAGGTTTTTGCTCCTTATCAAAAAACGTTGAGAGTTTTTTGCTAATGCTAATTTTTGGGTTCTATCTTTTGGTTTCCATCCCTATCTTCTTCCTTTAATAAAATATCTCCAAGTGACTAGATATATGAAATGCTAATATCTATAAACGCCATGTTTAGCATCTAGTGATCGAAAGAAGCATATGTTACAACTTTTCATTGAAGGCTAGTGCATTTTTGTTCGCTCTTTATGCCCCCACACACCTTAATTTCTTGTCAACTTGCATTTTTGTGGATACCCTTGGGCCATGAAACATCTCTTAATTAGATAATTATGTTAAAAGTTTTCTGTGGAATAGCATTTCCTTGTTTGAATGTTTCTATTAATGAAAAAGATGTGAGTGCTATAACCATTAAACAATACATTATAAAAGGTGAATTCTAATCTACCATATCCTCACTTGTCTGTGCCACACTCTTAACTCTTTCATGAAATTCCTTCTCTTCCCTACGGCCACCTGGCCAGCCCCACAAAAAAAAAAAAAGAAGAAGAAGAGAGAAACGAACAAAAGAAACAACCAAGTGACATGAGTTCCATGGTGAGAAGCGCTTCCCACTTTAGATAGAGATTCCTTGTTACACAACCACAATAGTAAGTTTGACACTTAAATTTAAATGGAGTTTGTTCCTATAACTGCAAAAAGAAGCTTTAGGCAATTAGGCTTATACAGTTGGAACTTAGTTATCTACTACGAATTAGCTCCTAGCTTCACTTATGTCATTTTGTGCTAGACTGTGCAAACACCACTATGGAAATTAGCGATTAATAAATTTTATGAATATCAAAATGGATTTCTTTTGAAAATTCACTGTTAATGTCGTTCTTCTAAATTAAGAGTTTATCCTGATTTCCCCGGGCTTTAGTCAATGGCAAACAAGGCAAGATGTGTGGTATGTGCATATCGCGAGTTTGAACCTAATTTGTGGACCAAGCCCTGTATTTAAGTGGAGAATGGTGAGAGGGGAGGGTTATAGCTTATAAACATCTTAGTTGACTTTCTATCCATATCACATGCAGTTGAGCTTGAAGGTAGTGGATCAAATGCTTAAGCTGGGTTGGGAAGGTGATGGACTCAGCCCTCTTATAAAGTGAAAGTTTCGGGAAATTGGACTTTGATTCACCAAGGGTTAACCAAAGTTTCTCCTGGTAAAAATCCCATTCATATCTTACAAGATGAAAAGTGCTATGCATCAAATACTAAAATTTTGGATGCATAACTGACACGCAGCTGCTCCTTCTCTTGACTGTATCATAGTCACTGTGCAACGAGGATACGTTTTACATTGACATGTAACTTGAGTGTACTGTAATAGGTAAACCACAGGGCTGTCCAGTAGTTTTTTTACTGGGTTCAGCATTTTTATTTTTATTGTTTTGATCGATATAGTTGTACATGCTGTCCAATTGTTTGATGTTAGAGTATAGGAAATTTAGCCATTTGATCTTTTCTTCCCTTTCCTCAATCACTGTATTGGGACTTTCAGTGTCATGGAATCACAGTCAAGATACTCCCTTGTAAATGTTCTCTTGTAAGAAGTGCTTTTTTACATGTTTATTTAGCTACTTCTCTCTGTTCGTCATTATTTTTGCCTTACAATTCTTTTCTTATTTTGGTATTGAGATGTAGTTGAGAGACACGTGTCACACAGTTGTGTGTAAATGTATATGTATATATAATTTCCTACAGACCTTAGTTGCTATAATGCATCCTGCTGATCATTGGGACCGAGAAGTAGGTTAAAGATGCAAGTGTAATGCCCACAACTTTAGGGCAAAATGACTATAGAAGCTTTTTCATGGGACATTTGTTAGTTTTAATTCTAACTGTACTTTTTCAGATGCCTGTTTATTACTAGTGAACAGTAAAGAGCGATGAGGACTTAAAGTTGGTTCAACTTCTATCCGTGTTTCAGTCTTTGAAGCTAGAGAATAGAATTGAAATTTTACTACCATTTTCTCCTGACCTGAGGTTGGGCAAGGGGGGCAGTGGTTATTCCAGTGAAAAACTCAAACTGACTTAAGACAAGGAAAATGTTAATGTGAAACAATGATGCCTTTCTTAGAGTTCAGACCTAAATCTACAGGCTTATTTTGGATACTGATGTCATAAACAGCATTCAAGAAAAAAACTAACAGTATCATATTTGCTATCTCTAGTATACAGGACTCAGTGAGGAGATCTAAAATATCTATGGCTCTCTTTAATGGCCCTATCTATGAAAGACACGAACGTGCAGTCCCCCGTCGATATGAAGATTAATCATTGTCCTGTAGTTGACAGTCTTCTTGTCATCACTCAACTTGAAAGCGAAGTAACGTAATAACACAGCAGAGAATATCTTCATTTGCCTGTAAGCGAACTCCTTTCCCAAACAGATTCTTGGACCTGCCTGTTTTATCAGCACAGTAATGTATAGACAATTCATGTTCAATTCTTTGACAAATGATGTTAAAAACTGACAAGGAGTTCTATAACCAACCTGGAAAGCTGTAAAGTTGAAGGGACTCTCTTGCCTGAAGAAACCATTCCCATCAAGCCATCTCTCTGGTTTATATTCTTCTGCATCATCACCCCATATAAATCTCATTCTTCCCATTGCGTATGGTTGGTAAGACACCATGTCCCCTTTGTTCACTCTGTATCCATCTGGTAAGGTATCATCCGAAAAGCTTAGTTTTGCATCCTACAATGTGAGCCCGAGAAACAAAATTAGCATCTGAAAGCATACATCTACTTAGCGACTTTTGTATAATACAAGAAGATCCTTATTACCACTGGAACTGCAGGATAGAGCCTAAGAGTCTCTGTCAATGCTGCATGAAGATATTGCATCTTTTCAAGGGCATCTTCACTCACATTGGCAGCAAAATCCGTTATGTCCATTACATCTTCTTTGTCAGTTGCTGCTTCTTTAATCTCTTGTGCTACTTTCTCCTGTACATGAGGGTACTTGCAAAGCATATATATAAACCAAGAAAGGGTGGTTGCTGTTGTATCTTTGCCTGCTATAATGAAGCTCAATATTATATCGCGCAAAAACTTTGGATCCGTTCCTGTTATTTGCAGAAACCTTGACAAAATGTCTTCTTTCTTCCACTGCAACTGGGAAAAGATTATAATGTCAAAACATCTATCGTCATTAATAAAAGTAGAAGCTAAAAAGTGATTCACCTACAGATAAATTAGCTTCTGGTTTACTCATCTGCTCGGTTTTCCTTTGGATCAGCTTATAAACAAATGCATCAATAGTTCTTATATTGTCCCTTAGCTTGGCTTCTGATCCGATATTGAGAGTTTTCTTAATCTTCCAGAAGATATCAACATATCTCCAAAGTGTCATTTCACTTGCATTGTCAAATGCATCGCTAAATTCTCTGCCTTCATCGTTTGAACCACACATGCTGTCTAGCTCAACTCCAAAGGCAACTCTGAAAATAGAATCTAGAGTTGCTTTCATGAATAGATCCTGCATTCATGAAACTATATATGTTTACTGGTCTGATAAAAACAAAGAAAGGTTGTTTAATGCAGTCAAGTCATGGAAACTAAATACTTGGATATCAACTATCTTGCTGGAATTGGCAGCTTCAGACAACATGTGGGCAAGCTTTGCCACATTTTTTCTGAAGATCACACTGCTGAAATCCCTCAGCACCCTCGTCGAAAACTCATGGCTTGACAATTTCCTCTGTTCCCTCCACTTATCACCATCAACTGTGAATATCCCATCCCCTAACAGATCCGTCAGAATGCTGTGATGATACCTTCCCTGTAGATTATTTATACAAAATATTCAAGTCGCAACACGAGTATCATTCTATTATTTGTTACAGTAGACTGGTAGATTCATAGCTGACTGCAACTAATTTAGAAATTGAGGCATAGCTGATCGATTGATAGAACAATAGCAGATTTACAGTTGCATGATGCAGATACTGAAAATTAGATTCAATGAACTGCAACTAGATATATTGACCTTTCAGCCAGATGGGAAAGTCAACTAATTTCTAATTTCCAACTCCAGATACTTAAAATTTACACAAGATTTTTTGTACTATTATAGCAGCTGTGATCTAAAATAATCAGATCTGATTTACATCACGCAATTATCATTTATCAGATTAAAACTGCAGCTCAGCTCTGTTGATCTGTCCCAAACATGGAATAAGAAACTTTGAATTATTTAATGTACAAAAACTGTGCTCATCTTTTCTGACGCAGATAACACTAATTGTCCATCATTTGTTTACTTATTGATGCTTCTCCTACGCTTAAATGGAGTTTAGTCATGAATGAAACAGTCAGTAAATAATTATGAACATAAAAAGGAAAAAGTTATTTGGGATTTGAAGAAAATGGCGTACCCTGCCGTAGTTATCAAAGTTTGTTTTGAGAATGCACTCAACATTAACAGGATCAGCAGTATAAATCTCATTCCTGAAAGGGCTAATCAATCTGTAAGTCCTGTATTTGCCTGCAAGATCAGTCATGTAATGGTGCAACCTGTGGAAGTTGAGAAGCTGATTGAAAATGGTGCCACCAATTGGATGGTATAATCTCTTTTTGCCATGTTTCCCTAGTATTTTTCTGGTCAAAATATGAACTATGAACCCACAAAAAATAAGTGAGAGAATGGTTGCTGGTATGTAGATCATGGAGCTCTGAAGAATATCCATGGAAACAACTAACCTGTCTTTGTGCATAGGTAGCTCATAATATATTATGTTATGTAACATATGTCCTTGTTCATATCTGGCTTATAATAATGTATCAAATAATATGCGTCATGGCAGTTGAAGGTGATCCACCTAAGCTCAAAAATTGACTCGTTCTTTGTTTTACTATGTAGTTTTTAGGTAATCTCTTTTGTCTCTCTCACTTCCTGTTTGTCTTTTTCCTCCCCCCCCCCTCCC